CCACTTGCATGGCTGGTGACGCCTGCCACTTGCATGGCTGGTGACGCCTGCCACTTGCATGGCTGGTGACGCCTGCCACTTGCATGGCTGGTGACGCCTGCCACTTGCATGGCTGGTGACGCCTGCCGCTTGCATGGCTGGTGACGCCTGCCACTTGCATGGCTGGTGACGCCTGCCACTTGCATGGCTGGTGACGCCTGCCACTTGCATGGCTGGTGACGCCTGCCACTTGCATGGCTGGTGACGCCTGCCACTTGCATGGCTGGTGACGCCTGCCACTTTTATGGCTGGTGACGCCTGCCACTTTTATGGCTGGTGACGCCTGCCTCCTGTCACCAGTCACTTTTATGGCTGGTGACGCCTGCCTACTGTCACCAGTCACTTTTATGGCTGGTGACGCCTGCCTACTGTCACCAGTCACTTTTATGGCTGGTGACGCCTGCCTACTGTCGTGGCTGAGAAATAATGTAGGTTGGTCTATAATTTAAACTTGATAAAACAAACTCGACAAAGGTCATACAACATGTTCTCACGTCTGGAACATTGTTGTTGTTTTCACAGTTCATTTGATGGCAGGAAAAGTAAGAGAAGAAAAATATACGTAGTGTATTTTCCCACAGACTCGAAACATTTATACTACTGGAAACCCTTTGAAGTATTTAGATCGTACACTGTACTACGAAAAAAAGATTCATGAAAATGTTTATATGTAAGATACTTGAGGGTTATCAGTGGTGTCTGAGATATAGGAGGAAATGTAGGATAAACCTGGTTAACAGCAGAGACGGCGTTGTAGGAATAGTGTGTCAACATCCGTAGCCTCGAACTTCAACCTGCTGCCGGCAGGTATCAGCAGTATTGCTGAAACAAAGACAGGTATTTTTTTTCTCTAAATATCAGATCAGCCAGCCTGTGATGGCTATGCGGGCAGGTTGGCAGCTAGCAGCAACAGTCTGGTTGACCAGGCTCTGAGTAGTTATCTCTTCCTACCTCCTTTCTTACCTCTTACCACTTTCCCCTTTCTTCCTCCTCCAGGTTAGTTCAGGGTAATGGGGAGCTACCTGCTGAGGTCTTCCCTAAGGGAATCTTAAACCTCACCCACGGACCGGGAGGCCAGTATGGCGCTACTTTAAGGGCAAATTTTATCTTGTAAGACGGCTCAAGAAGCTTTACTATCGACGAGCAGTCCATCAGAAGAAAATATTGAGGCAATCCATACCAGAGTCCGAAGTGTACCTGTGACCAGGGTTTTTCTACCTTCACATCACCGGCCCGGTTCCAGATCAGGCCTGGTTGACGGCCTGATCACTCAGGCTGTTGGTGCTGGTCTCCCGCGGTCCGACGTACCGGCGACTCGTACCTGTGACCGGTTCGACAGTCGCAGCCTGGGGTCAGGCTTTTCTGTCGATTATATGTTCCACCTGGTAATTGCTTTTGTCAGCCAGCTGGCCCACATATCCATCACAGCCAGGTTGACCTGGCATTTTGTGGACGTAGTGATCCAATTTTCCATTAAAAACTTCTATACTTTTGACAATATTTCTAATCTCAGCTGGTAACAAGTTGAAAAGTCTTGGACCACAGATGCTGACAGTGTTTTTCTTATTGTGCCCGTGGCACTGTTGATTTCTCCCGACTGCATTGTTATTGGTGGTGTGTAGGTTTGGGACCAATTTCTCGAGTATCTTTCATGTATATATTACCGTGTATGTCTGCTTCTCTCCATGGAGTACATCCTAAGTACTAGGAGGCATTCCCAATAGTTTAGATGCTTTATTTGTTTTTAGCGAGCAGTAAGTGATCTGTCCTTTCCAGCTCTGATGTATTTCCTGCCTTAAATGGAGCAGTTTAGCACCGTACAAATTTTGTTACGATAGAGGATAAGGGATTCGAATAATCTTTATTGATATATTTTTCTTTTGTCGTGAAAGTTCGCATTATCCACTCTATCATTTTCCTGACTTTCGTGGTATTTTCCTTATTGTCTTTACTAAATAATAACTAAGGCGAAATATACTGTTTTTTACTTTCCAGTTATTCTTTGAGATGGTCTTTCCTTATTTTGCATTCGGAGTTTCTTTAGAGTTCTTAATTCTTTCGTTACCTGATCAAGTGATATGTTTCCACTGAATATCATGTTACGTTCCACTGAAATACTTTACTGATTCCTTGTTGCAAATTTTCCGTGTCTTCTACCGAGGCGGCTTTCATGCTTATTTTAGTGTCGTCCGGAAAGGATGATACGAGGATCTGGCTAGTGTTTGTGTGTGTGTTATAAGGATATAAAGTAGCACTAGAACCTTGCCTTGGGGCATTGTTTTGGATCTATTTATTACCAGTCGTGTTCTATTCATGCTGAAGTTGAACATTTATTTTTTTTATCTTGGCTTTATTTTACAAGTTATCATTCCACAGTCACATTCAACAAACGCCTCGAAAAGTCTTTGGAGGAAAACTAAAACTCAGATATGATTTGCAAAGTTTCTGTATTTTCGTCACAATAGTTTAATAGTTGTGATAGGTATGATCTTCCTATTCTGAGGTCGTGTTTTGGGCGGTGTAAGTCTTGCATGGCCATAAAATTTATAATTTGGCGACTTTTATTTCAAAAACTTTCGTGTGATAGTGCTATTTTTTTTTGGGGGGGGGGGGGGTGAAGGCTTTACTGTCTCGGTTATACAGAGGAGGTAAGGGAGTATATAAACTCTTTAGGGTCACTAGGATTTCGTATAAATCTAGACACTTTCTCCGATGGAATACATAGCGCTTTTCGAGTCTTTATAAGTAATGAATTCTACAAATTAGGTTCTAGTGCTGCATGTGTGAGACAGATTTTCTATTTCTTTTTCGAATTCTGGGGGATTTGTGCATATGTCAGGTAAGATTTGCAAGGTGGACAGAGATAATGGAAAAAATCTATCTGGATCCTCAACATCAATCCTCTTAGTGGATTGATGGATATTGATTCTTCTTGAGCTTTTAAAATTTCTATTATTTATTTATTTTTTTTCATTGGTGTATGAACTGTGGGTAGCGCGTAAGTTCTAGAGGGTTTTTAATTAGATTTTTGCCTATGTAAAGCGATATATAGGATGTTTTGCATTTTCCTAATGAATGACCTTTTTGTTTACTGTGCGCCTTCTGACTGGTATAATATATCTTAGTTTCTTCTGTATTCGTAATCTCTGTGTGGATTATATTTCTCTTGTGACGTATGGTCGTTTTTAAGCAATTTAGTAACTATTTTTTTTTCTTCTGTACATTCTTCTATGTTGACTTTCAATATTCGACCTTCTGGACTTTCTCAGTAAGGTATTTTTTAATACATTCCTTGTAAGCTTTCGTATTTAGCATCTCCATGTACTGGTGGAGGTTGATGCTCTGTTTCCGAGGGAATGTAATGTATTTTTTTGATGCCGTCCCTGTCACTTCTCTGATCAAGGTAAATTTACTGACCATCCCTTCAAGTTGGCTATTTTTCACGTTCTCACGTTTGATTTATAGCTGGACTTGCATGAGGCTGTGGTCGGAGATACTTAAGTCTCTAGTTACTTCCTCACTGAGCTTGGAGATCAAGTGTAATTTCATTTTTGAGTAGGTTCTACTATATGCTAGTTCAAAGCAAACTTTTCGAATCCGGTAGCTCCAATATGTACCACAGCCTGGCTCATCCTAAACTAACTTGTGAACTTAAATTCCTCCTTGAAGACAGCTAAGGGAGGTCTCGTTACATAGGAAGGAAGGTTTTTGGTACCGTTTTGGTCCTTTTAACTATATAGCTAAAGACCAAAACGGGAGTAGGAAAATGCGCCAAACTCATCAAAATATATTAAAGGTATTAGTGTACCTATTATATCCTTAATTTTCAGTGAAGGTATTTTCCACCGTCTGACAATCTTCCCTTTTTTAAAGAAGTGATTTCAGTGTGCAGATTTAGGACCAGTCCTTCCAGAATTTAAGTGTAAATTATGATGCATCTTTCCCACCTACGTTCCAGGGAATAGAGCTCAAGCGACTTCAAGCATTCACAATATTTTAGGTGTTGATAGAACTGACATCGCTATTGTTTTTGTCAACTCTCTGGACTTTGAATAAGAAGCGTTAAACTCGTAAGGGTAATACAATATAGCACCAGGATGATGGAAGGCAAATTAATACACATGTGAAACATCTGGGTATCCTTATTGTAGACGTTTCGCCATCCAGTTACTGTATCAATACAAATTCTAGGACATAAATTGCCTTAGAATTTGTATTGATAAAGCCACTAGATGGCGAAACGTCTACAATAAAGATACCCAGATGTTTCACATGTATATTAATTTCATCTTGTCGGTATTATATACAATTCACGTACTACATGATGGAAGGCATTTGGAATCGATCTAAGAAAAGGACGGGAAGATTTAATCCTTTGTATCAAGAGCCTTTCTCCGGTTTCAAGGCACACTGAAGGGACTCATCTTGAGTGGTGTTGACCAGGCAGCAACAACCTGGTTGACCAGGAAATAAACAATGACGCGTGGACATAGACCTGGCTTCAAGAGTAGTGTAACTCTCGAAACAGCTCACAGGTATGGCTTAATACCTATTGAAAATAATTTTAATTTTAAAGGGGTGGACTGGTAAGCCAGCAGAAGGGCTCGGTAAGAGGACCAAACGCTCCAGTGGCGGGTCATCACGTCACCAGCACCCACGTCTGGAAATAACTGTTCTGTTTCTTGACATATCTTACTTAATCTGACTCACGAAATCGTAATGACACGATTGCAAACAAACCATGCCACTGGCGGGACTTGAAACCAGCTGGCCCAGTGGCTAGCGGGTCGGTCTGGAGTTTTACGACGCTCTAACCGCGGGTTCAAGCCCCCCCCGCCCGTGGTATGGTTTGCTTACCCAGTGTAGCCTAAATTTGGTCTTTTCGTGTCAACATTTTTTTTTTGGTTTTCGTTGCCCAATGTTTGTCCTCATATATACATTGTCTCCTCTCTCCTCCACAGACACTCAGAACACAAAGGAGAACTCTGAGACAGACTTGCACTTGTCCTCGCTACGGTCCAAGATCACCTTCACGCCAACGCACTCTGACAATGGTATGGAGTACAGTTGTCAGGCCCTCCACCCTGCGCTCCAGCATACCAACACCCAGAAAGTGGCTAGAGTGCACCTCGACGTCCATTGTGAGTGCATTTGTGTGTATGTGCGCGTGCGTGCGTGACTACAAGTACTTCAAGAGTGCATGTTTTACTAAATATCACATAAATATATACATAAAACCTGTAAAACTCTTTACAGTGGGGAAAAATAATAGGTTAGCAGAAGCAAGAACAAACGACAAACATTGCTAGTTCAGACAGACTCGTTTACCTATCTCACTGTCTCTCTCCCGTCTCCCCTAGACGAACCCGGTGCCCCGGAGATAACGGGCTACACGGAGGGCGAGATCGTGAGGGCTGGCGACCGCAAGACCTTGACGTGCCGCGCGCGGGGCGGCAACCCCTTGCCGGAGGTTTTCTGGTACAAGAACGGCGCGCAGGTAGATAAGAACTTTATTAAGCATCGCAACTACGCCGTCAACGAGTACTCGTTCCTGGTGGAGGCTTCCGACAACCTGGCAAAGTACGAGTGTCACGTCATGAACGTGATGACCACGCAGCCCAAGACGGCTGAGATACAGCTCCGGGTCAATTGTAAGTTGATCATCACCTCTGTCTTTCTCTCTCATACAAAAGGCCCTGAAGCCCTCTTTCCCTGAATCTAATCTCATTACACCTCAGGCACTGAACTGACCTTATACGGGTTTAGCTCTTCCCTTTTTTGCATGGAAAATAGCGTGGACTTAACAAAACGACTTTCCTCCCTCGCAGTAACTAAAGCAAATTATCTTTCATCCCTGTGCTCTGCCAGTCGCTGCTTCCTCTGTGACGATCTTTGGTCCCGACGAAGCCAAAGTCGGCGATGTCATAGCCATCAGCTGCGTGGCGGAGAACTCCAACCCTCCCGCTGATGTCACCGTGGTTATCAATGGCCAGACGCCGCCTGGGTCCATCTCCAGGACGCAGAAGGTGGACCACGGAGGCTGGCGGACCATCACCAACCTCACCACCTACGAGGTGTGGCCCATCGACTCTGATCTCACCGTTAACTGCTACGCTCTCAACCAGGCCCTTGGCTCCACCAAGATCGACACCAAAGTCATCAGTGTGTTGCGTGAGTACCTTTGTTCACTTCGTATTTCCGTTAATTTAGCAAATAAATGCCTCTGTTAACGTAGCAAGTGTATACCTTGTTTCTGCTTATCTGTCGAGAGAGATAAAACCCAGAAATGTTTATAATATGACCTCCACCCCTCAGTTATGACCCCTTTAATTACTAATATGACCTCCTTTATTATGAACCGCCCCTCAATTATAACGGCTTCCCCCTTAATTGCTGCACCCATCTCTACCTCCAGCCCCTCACCATTTGTTTGAGGCGCTTCTCTCTCCTCCAGGAGGTTATACAAGCCTAGAAAGGTTATATTTACCCCTTCGAGTTCGAGATTCTTTTTTTTTTTTCCCATATAGTAAACATTGATGTCAATCTCCCAAGACCATTAACATAGCGAGTGTCGCTTCCAGGTCAACACTACCACTTGACATTTGACAAAACCTAAGTTTAGAACGATCATAACGAGCAATAATATCCTCACTCACAACACTACTAAGTGCTGGAGAACAATGTTTATAAGTTAACTTGACCCTGTGACTCGACACCATCAGCAGCCTCGTTTCCTCACTTGTTTCTCTCGTATTTAAACAATAAATTAGAATTTACATGATAATCTCTCCATGATTAAGATTTTACATATTTTTTTCTCTCGTTAATGATGATGATGATAATTAAAATGTATATTGGAAATTTTCGTTTCATTAAATTTTTAGAGTATAAAGGTGGGAATTTTTTATTAAAATATAATGTAGGGTAGGATTTTGGTAAATAAATATGGCGTGTGAACCATTGTGGTAATACACACTGAATATTTTGTAAATTTGCTGTTTTATTTAAACTCACACTCTCTCTCTCTCTCTCTCTCTCTCTCTCTCTCTCTCTCTCTCTCTCTCTCTCTCTCTCTCTCTCTCTCTCGTTTAATAAAAAATCTAGCTTCATACTCTAAAAATTTAATAAAACAAATTCCTAATATACATATTATTATATTGAATGGGACGTCTATGGGGGGAATTAATCAGGTTTGATCTAAGAGAAGGTAGCTCCCATTCTTTGGATCAAGAGCACTCAGTCGCAAGGCAACACTATTAAACAGGACCAAACTCTCAGCAGCTCTTAAAGCGTCTAGTAAGATTCAGTAGTGATATTGATTTGTCTTGACAAGACAAGATCACTCCGGAGAAGCTTAAATGTGGGAGACAGTGTTTGCTGAGCTGGTTGTTTAATGGGGGTTTAAAGGCTATCGACTACACGAGGGTTATTAAGGCTGCATGTCACCTGTTTCACCACATGTCGAGAATACTTTAATCCCTAAAGGATTCAAGTAAACTCTGGGCGTATATGCACTGAGAGGTGTTGTGTATCCAGTGTTCCTGGGTGTCATGTCCGAGTGTTCATCTATTTCCCTTCTGAGCGAGATACAACTAGGGTGGCTACACCTCTGCATCAAGTACGGGACATTCAGTTTTGGTTTCCGTATTTTCAAACAAACTGTTCTGTTAAATAATATTTAGATTTTTTTTCTAGGTTTCCCTTGCTTTAGCAACTCCACCTTTAAAATCTGGGTAAAAGTTTAAGAATTTTTTTTCTTTTGGAGATGGATTTGTGAATCCTGTGTTCACTGTGAACAGTGATAGCCACATCAGTCTCCTCTAACTTCACATTTAACAAAAGTTTTTGTGAGCATTGTAAACTGTTATTCTCTCCCACACCACTACACACATTTACACAATCTCCCACACACTGTGGACCCGCACCATACCTTTACCGTTGAAAGATTGTTTTCCCTGCTCCCCCTTGTGGCTTAGCGCTTCTTTTTGATTATAATAATTTCCCTACTCCCGCAGCCCGTCCCTGGGTCAACTTTATATGGTTCTTTCCTGTTCAGCCAGACTGTTGCTGTTGGCGGTACACACATCCATTATATTATGGATGATCTAGCACATGGTGGAGGTACTTGTCCAGTTTTCTCTTGAAAAGACACTTTTTCAGGTAGTGTTTGTCTGGTAGATTATTATAATTAAGCGCTGAACCCATACAGGTCACACAGCGCTGTTTATCTGGTAGGAAACCAGGTAGTATGTGTCCACGAATGTTGATACACTGTTCTCTTATTGTGCCCACGACGCTCCTGCTTTTCACTGGGCTTATTTAACATTTTCTCCTATATTTCAGTATATTATGGAAGTGTACAGATTTGGGACTAGACTCTCGAGTACCTTTCACGTACACATTAATATGCATCTCAAGTCCAGTGAGTACATGTTTAGGATTGTGAGGCGTTCCCAGTAATTTAGACGCTTTGTTGACCTCTGCAAGCAGTGTAAACGATCTCTGTTCCAGCCCTGATCTCTCCCCCTGATCTCTCTCCTGCCCTGAGAGGAGCCGCCAACTTGTGTGAGAACACAAGTGCCACCATTGACATTATTTCCCTTGTTTAGAAAGTTCTTATTGGCCACTCCGTCACTTTGCAGGTTTTCGTGACATTTACCCGATTGTATTCTTGAAAAGATAAGTCAGCTGCATTACACCCAGATTCTTCACATGTTCCTAATGTTATATTTGGTGATCCTCTTGCGTTTTGTATACTGTGCCCCCTTTTGAGTCCTACATTCTTTCCACATCAAAGCAGTTAGAACTTGTAGCCCTTAAACGTCAAGTTTTTTTCCACCACCCACTGGAAGGCCATGCTTACATTTTGCAGTTTTTTTCCGTCTCCTACAGAGATAATTTTTATGCTTATTTTGGCATCATTCGTAAATGATACGAAACTGCCGAGTGTTGATACGAAACAACTCTCTTCCCTTACTCATCGGCTCCTGGCCGCGACCTCCGGCCCCTCATCACCACCAATCAATAACGCCCTCCCACTGACGCCCCTCCATCGCCATTCACCTCAGTATTACCCGGCAGTAAGCACTCCTCCCCTCTCCCCCTTTTCCACAGGTCCTCCAGAGCCTCCTGTGATTCTGGGCTACGAGCCGGGTCGTCTTCTGAAGAAGGGCAACCCGCATCGGCTGACGTGCGTCAGCAGTGGTGGCAACCCCCTGGCTACACTACAGTGGTTTAAGGGCTCCGTAGAACTGCCCTCGGAAAACAGACACGACTCCGGCACCTCCGTGGCCGAGCTGGACATCACACTGTCGGAGTCAGACAACGAAGCAGAGTACTGGTGCGAAGCGACGAACTCGGCCACCACGGAGCCTCTGGTCAACTCCACCGTCCTCAGTGTCATGTGTCAGTATCCCCTATGACTGCCTCTCTGCTTAACCATTACTGATACATGATTCTGGTACCTGTGTAATATTTCCGTACCTTCCCCTGCCTGTTTGGTGTCAAAATGTCAGAGCATCTTTCCAATATTTCTTATTCTTTATTAATTTATTATTACAAGGTTAAGTGTTAAACCATTCTCTAGTTAAATATTTGATGATAAATCACCGTCTACGTGTTTTCTGGAAGACCATGAAATTAATGATGGGAGTGCTTCCATTAAGTTTATCAAAAATATGTATTAATTTTTATATTTTTCATAAAAACCGTGATTGCATTGTTAATATTCGAAGTTGTTTATTCAATGGGACATATTCGGTTCCGAGTAACTCTAGGTATATTTTATGTTCAACTATTACCTATCCTTTCTGAAGGATGAGACCTGTGCAGCCTATCCTCTCTTATTCATGTTTACCAATGAATTATTCTAAAGTGAACTAAGTGTCCCGTGATGTGTATTCCTTCCTGGTTGCGGCTCATGACATGTATGTTGGTCTCCCTCAGTCCCTCCGTCAGGAGTGAAGGTGAGTGCTCGTCCACGGAACATCAAGGCCAACACCCAGGCGACGCTGGTGTGCGAGTCAGCCTCCAGCAACCCCCGCGCCAACGTCACCTGGTGGAGGGATGGCTTCGAGGTGCTGCCTGGAGAATCTCAGACCAACCCAGGCCAGTTTGGCGGCACCACCACCAAGTGAGTTAGAACATTTTTAACACTTCACGAATAACAAACGTGTGCAACAATGTAGCTTCCTTATTTCCGAAAGGTTTCGCCTGCACTGCAGGATTCTTCAGTACGTTTGAATAAGTGATTTAGAACATAGAGGAAAAATGCAGCAGCCGTATTAGCCATACAAGGCAGGTCCTTCTCAAACCCAATAACAATGTAAATATTCCCAAGCGTCTTCTTATTCTTCAGCCTAATACAGGAGAGACAAGAATTTGTAATAATTGTAGCATGTGTGCGTTGAACATTTGCTACTGAGTGCTATATTAGCTTAGCTTGGGATACCTGTGTTACGTGTGCTGGCAGCAGCAGCAGCCTAGTTTTCCGGGTAGACAACAATGTAGGCTGGACTCTGCCTGCATATAGACCAGAATAACTCACACACATCACATGATTCAGTGAAATTTTATTGTATGAGGGATATCTGAATGTTTCCTATATGGATACCCAATGTTACGTGTTTTGGGGGATAACTTAATAAGGTTGCCTACGAAATGAAGTATATTTGTAGGATACCTAGGTGAAGGATGCTTATATTCGCTGTGGACTCTAAGCAGGAACTTGTCAGGGTCCTCTTTGAAAGCTCATTTTCCATATGATGGCTAAGTTTTGATACGTAGATGTGTGGGCTGCCAACATCAAGAGCCTGGTTGATCAGGCAGGCAAAAAACCGGGCGTGGGCCTGCTGCAGTGCTTTCTTGTTCTAGATTTTATTCAGGGGGAAGCGCTAAATTCATAGGGGTCATATAGCACCTGGGTTATTAGAGGCACTGAGGTTCGATTCAAGAAGAGGGAGAGGAGGGGGAACAAGTCCAGTTCCCAGCATCAAAAGTCCCTAACCTCTTCTAGTTTCACTTTCAACACGGGTTCATGTATCTCTGTATTATGTATCATACATGTGTACATCCAGGTGTATCTGCATTATTCTCCAGGGTTAAGTCTGAAGGAAATTATTCACCTTGCTAATGTGTACATCTCGAAGACAGATGTCTCTCCACCACACGTGTGTGTGTGTGTGTGTGTGTGTGTGTGTGTGTGTGTGTGTGTGTGTGTGTGTGTGTGTGTGTGTGTGTGATGGTGTAACCCTGTGCTGTTGCAGGTACACGGTGAAGGTGGACGTGACTGCTGACGACGACGGTGCTGTCTTCACTTGTCAGGCTGACAACCGCTTCGGCTCCACCACTCACGATGCTGTCACCCTCTCTGTCCTTTGTAAGTACTTTATAAGGGCTTCTCAGCCTTGTTTTCACGAGTTGCTTCTACAGTAGCTCCTAGAGGAAGCTTCTCATTCCTTAGATTACTTCACCACTGAGTACCTAGTGACTCCTCCTTATCCTATCTTCCATAGGTTCCTTCAACAGTAAGAGTTCTTGAAGGCGGGTCTTAATCCTCTCTCCTTGATTAGTTTTCTAAATCACTCCTCACGAGACCCAGAAAGCAGCTCCTCACCTTCAGCAGAAAATGACCAAAAATGAGCTCTCTCGTGAGAAATGATCGTCAATACATCTACAGCATTTTCTCATTTCTGGAATGTCGAAATTCAAGACTAAATACTTCGTGCTCCTGTAATGGCAAGGTGGCCATTTATTCATTACTCATATTTTGTCTTTTCCATCACTCTGTCAGTCACAATTTCGACATATTCATTGCTTGGTATAATCAACACTCAATTTTTTTTTTAAGTTTCGGTAATAGGTATCATACGAGCATTCTAAACTCGTCAATAAGGGTTGAAGTTTTAGAAAGCTCTGCAGCATAGTTTGCGTTAATGTAATTGTAAGCAGATAGAGTAGTAGTTTCTCGGTCTGCCTCTATAGCACTATGGTCACTTAGGTGACAGCTCAGTACTATCAAGGTACTATCATCACCCACAACACTGGCACTACCCAGTGTTATTACATTCGTAGGGGAGCGGTAAATTCATATGGGTCATACAGCGTTAGGAAATGGGAGGCAAGCTTAGACGGTGGCACTGACCAAAGCCTTTCCCTTCCTCGGAGAAAACAATATATTTTAATCCCTTTAAGTTCCGAGAGGTTTGTTACTCGCAGGGCCCGGCCTTGGGCCAGGCTTGTCTGATGCTTGCCTGCTCAACCACTATTAATGCTGGCGGGCCCCTTGCCACACACATCCATCACAGTCTGATTGATCTGGCACCTGGTGGAGATACTTGTCCAATTTCCTCTTGAAGACTTTTACACTTATCCCAACAGTGTTTGATATTTTCTGGTAAGATGTTGAAAAGTCTGGGGGCTACGGATGTTGATAGTGTGTTCTCTCATTGTGCCTACTGAGCCCCTGCTTTTCACTACTGGTTTCTAGTTATTCCTATTATAGTTATTTTGCGAACATTTCCTACTGATGCTACGTGATTACACGCAGTCTATCTGGAGGATGTTCCAAGGGTCAGCGTGCCCGCGGCCCGGTCCCAGACCAGGCCTCCCGGTCCATCCTTCGGTAACAGATTGTAGAGGATTCGCCTGCAAACGTGTTCATTCTGGAAGACGCGATGTTCTCCACTGGTCAGAGAGGATCGCGATTAGCGGACTGAGGATCCATCCTCCACAACCGCTTGTGCTGACCCGTACGGGTCTAGCACTTAAGGAAATTTAATTAGACAAACCAGGAAAACGTTTAGTTTGACCTTTTTCTGTTTTATGTATATCGGTTCGTACCGAGCCCTTTTCACAAGTAATATATGAACCTTTCTTTTATGTATTATAATCATGGGAGAGCGCTAAACCCGTATGATTATACAGCACGTGGGGGGGATAGAAGGTATTCAGGTTTAATTCAAGGAACCAGAGTACAGATACAATTCCCTGGATCAAGAGCCCCTCGCCAGCGTCAAGGAACCTCCCTTAAGGGGTTCTTTTACAAAGGTTTCAGTAATACTACACTGTCTTGGCTTCAGAACAGAGCATCTCCTGGATATAAGCTCATCACTACTTTCTGTTCGTCATTATCTTCTCCATCTCCCTTATTTCTCATCCCCCCCCCCTCTTCTTTTAATCTCCCTGTCTTTTATAAGTCTCTTCACATCTCCTAATGCTTAACGATACCCTCGTCTGTTACTGAACAAGCTCAGGCTGACTTGTTTCATAAACTCTAGTATAAAACTTACCCTGAGTGACAGGGAAACAGAGGTAGCAATCACACTGAGTATGATAACAGCCCACTGCAGGTGTTCACACCGTGAAATTGTACAGAATAAGGTAGGAACACACTGCTGTTAACTGTTAGTGAATCTCTGCCTTTCGTCCAATTTCTCTTCAGCATCCCCCATAATTGTTCTCTCTCCCCATTTAATATCTCTTCCTTCCCCTCCCCAGATCCTCCCGTGTGGATTGAGAAGCCGAGTGAAAAAGTAGAGGTGAAGCAGGGGGACAGTGTTCAGGTGAACGCCAGCGCTCGTGGTAATCCCAACGGTGTCGCCTACCTGTGGCGGCGGGGGGACGAGGTTGTCATGGCTGGCAGTGTGTTGAATATCAGCTCGGTGGCCAAGGAGCATGCAGGGCTCTACACCCTCGAGGCATCCAACTCTCAAGGCAACACAGCGGCCAACCTCACCCTCATTGTCAAGTGTAGGTTTTGGTGGTTTTTAGTGTGAATTATCTCAATTTACTTCCTGATCTGTGATAGCACCACGTGGGTAATCTCCCTTAAACTACCTGGAGTCGATTTCGGGATTCACCCCCGTGGCCCGGTCCCAGACCAGGTTATCTCCGTCTCTACCCTCCTAAGTAGTCTCTTTTCACCGTCTCATTATCTCTCGCCGTAACAGACGGAGCGATCATCACGTCGGTAAGCGGAGGACGTAACGTGACGGCGGGGGAGAGCGTGACGCTTGTGTGTCGGGTGGACGCCAGCCCGGACCCTGATATCAGCTGGGGACGTCAGGGCTACGACTTTGCCAGAACCCAGCACAAGAAACATTTATCTGAGGTAAAGTAAAGCTGATTATTTTATGGTATGTGGGACAGTAGAGATCAGACAGCGCCTTGAGGGAGGGTAGCTTTAACCCTTCAGGGGGCAAGAAAGTCTAAAGTGTGAATTTGAAATTGATTTCCTATGAGGGGATAGAGCCACTCAATGTAAGGTCACTGAGACCATCCAAACAGAGTTGTGAAAGTAACATCTCGCGCAATTGCAGATATTCGAAGACCGAGTGTATTCGGTCCTGCCCGTTGGGGGTATACCATTTTTGAATGTTGCAATGTTGCATTGGTTGTAAAAAAACGAAATAAGTATTTTTTAAATTTATTATACAAGTAGACAATATAAAAAACATAAATGGAACTTGTTTCTGAACAATTTGTAACCAGTAAAAAAATAGAAATAGGAACTACTTATCAACAATGACACATTGCAATGGGATGCAACTTACAAATGAAATATTCCTGAGTTCCCTGAGAAAGAACAATCATTTCACATCACTAATTTTGCAAATGAAAGTTCATGAAACAATTTTTATCCTTCTTTATGCACAGATTTACTTTACATATGGCACAGCAAAATGAGGATGTGACATGATTATTCTTTTTGCTGCAAAACTTGCATGAAAGCAGCTTACCTAACACTGGCCAGTGACCTAGCTGTTTATCCAGCCTCACACTGTCATCTGGCCTTTCTGCACGTTGGTACTGAAATGCAGATGGGTATTCCACGTTTGACAAAGCTTCATTACTGCCAACCAAAGAAGTACTGGGTGAATCTCGACTTCGTCTCATGCTGGTGCGGTTGAACTTTTGTCCTTTGGATCTTGCAGTGACAGAGATGTCAAGCCTGAATAGCTTCAGTGGTGTGCATGGCATGTTTAGTGACCTACAATCACGACAGTAAAGAAGCCATGCATTCACAACAGCAACATCCAAAACATAAGCAAAGAGCCGCATGTACCAACGCTTTGATTTCATTGGTGTTTTGTAAAGATGGACCAACATGTTACTTTTGTCGATACCTCCCATGTTTGCGTTGTAGTTCTTGATGATGCCTGGGCACTCAAAGTGGTCTTTCTTCTTTGATGCCTTGTCATATCTTTCAATAAGACCCAAAGGATAAACTCCGACATCATTTGTGACTAGAGTCACAACTTTGTTGTCCTTCCATCTTACAAGAAGGATATGATCATTGCTTTGGAAATCAAAATAGCCCTGGCCACATTATTCTTTTGCATTTCTTTCACAGGCATCAGTTGTGGCTTACCACATCTATTATCACGTATTGTTCCAGTGTACCTGCAGTTATACTTGTCTCTCAGTACCTTGACCAAAGGTAGACTTGAAAAGAAATTATCAGCATAGACTGCTGATGTTTTTCTTTGGTCAAGAGATGCTGCAAGTACAAGAACAATCCTGGAACTCATTGGGAGTTTATTTTCTTCATTTGACAGCTTTATGTGATGGTTCTCAAAAGTTGGGTTACCTTGATACATCAGTATATCATGTATGATTCCATCTTCACTGCTACGACAGAAGAGTTTGAAACCCCACTTGTCTGGTTTGTTTTTGATGTATTGCCTTAGGTTTCCAGCTGTTTTACCCTTGGTGGTGGCGCAGCTTCCTCCTCCCCATCTGTTGACACCTCTGCATCTGGTGGCAAGAATTCATCCTCACTATCCAGGAAATCCATGTCATCTGAGTCTTGATCTGAGTCAGTATCATCCCAAACACAGACAAATTTCGAGGTAGCCTTGGAGGACTCACCGTAGAACAATTTCTTATTGATCTGGAAGGACAATAAAAACATTCTGTACACACCCAGACCATTACTGAATTCATATATACACTACCAAATTTTATGGAAATATTTATATACCGAAACTTGAAAAACTGCACCTAAAAGGGCAGGAACGGCCGTGCATGGTCCTATTTTGTTGCACTTTTTTCATTTGCATGGTGCACTCGTAATATGCTTCACAACGCCTTCATATATATATCAAAATATGGCTAAACTATTCATTTACACACTAGACACACAAATCAGTACTTACCGACATTGTATTGGGTGAAATGCTTCAGTATATAAGGAGCACTATACCGAGAAACACGAGTTTTGGCGCCGGCAAGGTAGAAGTGTTTACATTCTGCTGTCTCGACCAATGGGAAGCGAGCAGCCGCCATCACCGCTCAGCCTGGGCGACTCAGGGAAGGTCTGTGATTGGTCAGAAATAGAGAATGGGAACCTAGATGCGCGGCGGGAGTTGTAGGACGTGCGCAAAAAACCACGCTATGAGGACCGACTTCACTCGGGTCTGCCCAGGGACAGAGCCCTTCAAAACCGTCAAGGGAATCTCTTGAAAGGGCAGTTGCGTAACAGTGCACTATACACTGTGAACATAATATATAATACTCTAAAGCTGTAGGATTGAACAGTGCCTGTGGGAGGGGTGATGTGGAAGGTATTCCACATAATGTACTAGCAGCAAAATTATGTATAAGGGTAAAAACCTCTATTAGAATTATTAGCATACATATTCTTTATAGTTTCTCCAAGATAGTATGTTCTAAACATTTTGTGTGTATGTATATGTATGCTTGTATATATATAATATACAAGCGACACAGGATGCAAAACCACAGGGGGTGTCTTACTCATTTCTGCAACTTTGCAAGCTCCGGATGTTGATTGCAACACGAAAGGCCTAGAGCTATCATTCAGTTTCCCCGTGCTTACCTGGAGATTATTCCGGCGATCAACGCCCCCGCGGCCCGGTCCATGACCAGGCCTCCCGATGGATCAGGGCCTGATCAACTAGGCTGTTACTGCTGGCCGCACGCAGTCCGACGTACGAGCCACAGCCCGGCTGATCCGGCACTGACTTTAGGTATCTGTCTAGCTCTCTTGAAGGCAGCCAGGGGTTTATTGGCAATTCCCCTAATGCTTGATGGGAGGCTGTTGAACAGTCTTGGGCCCCGGGCACTTATGGTGTTTTCCCTTAGTGTACCAATTGCGCCCCTACTTTTAATTGGGGGCATTTTGCATCGCCTGCCCAGTATTTTACTTTCATAGGGAGTGTTTTCTGTGTGCAGATTTGGGTCCATTCCTTCCAGGATTTTTCAAGGGTAGATTATGATATATCTCTCCCTCCTGCGTTCCAACGAGTACAAGTCAAGTGCTTCCAAGCGTTCCCAGTAGTTAAGGTGCTTGACAGAACTTATACGTGCAGTAAAGGATCTCTGTACACTCTCTAGATCTGCGATTTCACCTGCTTTGAATGGAGATGTTAATGTACAGCAGTATTCCAGCCTAGAGAGAACAAGTGATTTGAAAAGGATCATCATTGGCTTGGCATCTCTCGTTTTGAACTTTCTCATTATCCATCCTATCATTTTCTTTGCACGTGCGATCGTGGCACTGTTGTGATCCTTGAAAGTGAGATCCTCAGACATTACTACTCCCAGGTCCCTTACATTATTTTTCCGCTCTATTGTATGGCCAGAGTCTGTAGTATACTCTGTTCTAGTTATTATCTTCTCTTCCATAACGGAGTAGTTGGAATTTGTCCTCATTGAACATCGTATTGTTTACCGTTGCCCACTGGAAAACTTTGTTTATATCTTCTTGGAGGTTAACCGCGTCCTCAGCAGATGACAGCCTCGTGCAGATCCTAGTATCATCCGCAAAGGATGATACGATGCTATGATGTATGTGTGTCTGATATGAGGATGAGGAATAAGATGGGGGAGAGTACTGTGCCTTGTGGAACAGAGCTCTTCACTATGGCAGCCTCCGATTTAACTCTTCGTGTTCGATTTGTTAGGAAGTTGAAGATCCATCTCCCCACTTTGCCAGTTATTCCTTTAGCACGTATTTTATGGGCTATTACGCCATGATTGCAATTGTCAAAAGCTTTTGCAAAGTCTGCGTATATTACATCTGCATTCTGATTTTCTTCCAGTGCATCCAAGGCCATATCATAGTGATCCAGTAGTTGTGAGAGGCAGGAGCGACCTGCCCTGATCGTGCAGATTTTGGGAATCCAGGTGATTTGCAGTCCTGCTTCTTAAACTCAAATATTTTTATGATGAGAGACGTCAGAGCTATTGGTCTAGTTCTTAGCTAATGCTTTGCTGCCACCTTTATGGAGTGGGGCTATATCCGCTGTTTTAAGTGGCTGGAATTTCACCCATGTCCAAGCTCCTCCTCCATAGTGTACTTAGGGCATGCGAGAGGGGTTTCTTGCACTTCTTAATGAAAACAGTTCCAAGAGTCTGGGTATGTTATCAACGGCTTTTTCGAAATCTAGCAGAGTTGGGGTAATGTCGGAAAACTGGCAAACATTTATGGAGTTTTGAGGAGTTTTGTGTGTATATACTTGTGGCTTAGCGCTTCTTTTTGATTATTATTCCTGAAGGTGGCTGAGCGGTGGCCGTGCACCGCGCCTTCTGCACCGTCATCCGTTTCGCCCCCGCTCCCCGAATTTTTTTCAGATTTTTTTTTAATTTCATATACCCTCCACTTCCTCGGATCAAGTTTTTTTTGGATTCCCTCCTATGGGGCATGGTACTTTCTCTTACTACAGGTCTAAACAAGTGTGATGTCACCCCACCTGTGTTTACTCGGCAGTCAGTGACGTCACGTGATCTCACACACACAGGCTGAATCTTGTCGAGCAGACAATAAAATGCAGCATAACACTAATACACAATATTTTCATTTATTTATTTATTATACAACCAATACATTTCATATACATCCAACAAAAAAAATTCATTGAAAAAAAAGGTACAATTCATTGACTAAAATCAACATATTTTTCTCTTGAAGAAATTCTGCGCATTTTGTTCTGGATCTTCGTCGTCACCATCTCAGTATTACATATTTCATATACAACATAGGGAAAACATTACACATTTTTCACTCTTAACCCAGGATAACCCAAATAATTTCACATTTTTTTCGTTAATACCCACAACAATCCACAATTTCTTTACAAAATACAA